TGGCTTTGAATAGATCTTGGCACACCATGGGCACTTCTGCTGGCCTCGTCACCACTAGAGTGAGTAGGTATTTCTTCAGGGTCTTGTTACTTGATTGCCCCTGAGGAGCGAGCAATGCCCACTCACCGACATGTGGTGAGCCAGGAGTTCTCTGTAGGGTACATGTCAGTCAGAGGAGAGGAGAGCAGAGCTAAGGTGAAGTTAGAAGTCAGGTCATACAGTTGTACTTGCTTCCTAGTAGTGGTCAGAGAATGGTGTTGAGTTCCCCTGTAGCCAGTGGGAAAGAGAAAAACAATTGCATGAAGTTACATCTGTGAGATGGACATGTGTTCCAGTGCCATTTCTCTAAAGGGGGAGAGCCCAGGCTGGAACCAAAGCATTTGTATGTAAGGTAACTGTTCTAGGTGTTATGTTCACACGCTGTGTGTGCACTTCCTCTGCACCTGTCTTCCCTCTGCAGCTCAAGATGGATCCTGCTGCTGTGTGCAGCCAGGCCTGGCCGTCAGGCTAAACGTGGATTCACCCTGTAATCTCCTTAGCTCTCCTTTTTTTTTTTTCTTTTTGAGACAAGGTTTCTTAGTGTAGCTCTGGCTGTCCTGAAACTACCTCTGTAGACCCAGTTGGTCTTGAACTCACAGAGATCCACCTGCTGCTGCCTCCTGGGTGCTGGAATTAAAGGTGTAAGCCACCACCACCCGATTCTGTCTCGCTTTCTTAATGCTGTTTTAAATCTACAGTGTGGTTTAGGTCCTAGTGAGCTACTTGGCTCTGGACCTACATTTGTGTTAAGTGAACCTCTAGCACAGAAGCTGAAATAAGGCAGTGATGGTTGAGGGAAAGCTGAGGAGGTAGCAGCTCCTGTCTACCTTGACTTAGCAAGTTATTCGGTGACCGAGTGGATGACAGTTCTTAACAAGGTGACCTCATAACAGCAGACCCTCCTGGAGCCATAGCCACTTATGCCTCCCCCTCCTAGGTCCTGAGCTGGGCAAGCCAAGGAGGCCTCCAGATGCTCTGATCGTGCAGAGCCAGGAGCTTGTGTTGGATATGCCACTGGCCCTATTCTGGGTCTGTCTTTGCCTTTGTGGAGTAGGATGAGCTCCTAGCCTGGCCACCGCTTGTCACGAGGACCCTCTTTGTGTGTGTACCTTCGCAGCTGAGGAAGGTATTTTGGAAGAATGTGTGAATGAGCAGATGGTTAAATATGCAATTACTACAGAGGAAGATAAACACTGTCCTTGGGGGGTGCAGGAGTTTGCAAAGTATGCGTTGAGAGAACAGTGTTCTTTGAATCTGTAGCAAGCAGCACCAGGTCCCGTTGATCCCTCGTTGTGCGGCACTGTCTAACCTGCCGTCAAGCTTGATGGAATATTTACAGAGCTGTGTGCCTCGTGTCCAGGATCCTACACGGTAGAAGAGCGGTTCAGACAAGGTGGGTGACAAGCTTTTGTCAGCCAAGATGGGCATCTACCAGCTGCAGGACTAAAAGGATAGACGGTATTGTGAGTCCTTAGAGGATTGGAGAGTGGGTATTCTTTGGGAGATGCCAGATAGCATTTAGAGAGGGTTTTAAATTTTTATTTTTATATTATTGTTATTGGGTTTTTTAGGGTTTTGTTTTTTGAGACAGGGGTTCTCTATGTAGCCCTGACTGTCCTGTAACTTGCTCTGTAGACCAGGCTGGCCTTAAACTCAGAGATCCACCCGCCTCTCCCTCCCAAGTGCTGGGATGAAAGGGGTGCACCACCACTGCCCTTCTAAAAAATTATTTTTATTTTAAATTTATATGTATTGTGTTTCTCTGTGTGCATACGGCACATATGTGCCAGTGTCCATAGAGGCCAGAAAGCATCAGATCCTTTGGAAGTGGGAGCTGCCTGATGTGGGTGCCGGCAGTGAAACTCAGGTCCTCTGGAAGAGCAGCAAATGCTCTTAACTCCTGAGCCATCTCCCAGCCCCTCCTGTAGAGACTCTTTACAAAAATCTTCATCTTTAAAATGTTGCCCTAGTTTTGTTGTTGTTGTTGTTGTGTGTGTGTGTGTGTGTGTGTGTGTGTACCTGGCGATGTATGCACACACGTACTCCAGAGTGGCTGTGCTAATAACCTAAATAGGAATTTGTGTTGCTGTCAGCCTGGACTCTGCAGTAACATGTTATTTATTATGAGAGTCAGCTTCCTCTCTCTAGGAGACTTGGAGCTGTCCTATGAGGTGAACTTCTTGTGTGCAGGGGAAATGAAGTCAATAGTCTTTCTCTGTCCCACTGGTTTGCTTCAGGCGCTTAGCTGTAGCTCTGTGCAGAAGGGCAATCCCACCGGGCTCCCACAGCCTTTGGCCTTCCCTCTCAGTGGCCACTGGATCTCCATCACAAGCTTCCTGGTAGCAGTGGGGGTGCTGCTACCCTCTGCTCTTCAGAGTTCCCTGCTAATGAATACTGACCTTTCCTCGCCTCCCTTTGAAGCAGCTAGTTCAGGGTTAGGGGTGTTGTAGCTCAGCAGAGGAGCACTTCCTTAAGATGTGCAAAGCCCTAGATGTGATACCCAGTACCACAAAATAAAAAGCAATGGATGTAGCTACCCGTCGGAGAGTTCTTTTTCCAGTCACTGCTCCTGTGGCTCAGGGCCACCTTCTCTCTTCCACTTTCTTTCTCTCACTGCTAGTACTTGAGCTTTTTCACCTCACATAGATATACTGACCCTCCCTGTGAGAAGTAAGCCTTCAGCCTGTCCCGCCCCCTAGAAGCCTTAGCTAGGCTTTTCCAGATGTTTCCAGCTGCTTCCTGGGACCTAGGGGCTGCAAGTCCACTGTACCGTCGTTTGTAGCAGGATGCTGGGCTGGCCTTCGTTAGGAATGAGGTCTTTGTCGCAAGAGCACAAAACCCAGTGAGGTGCTGAGGGAGAGCAAGTGCAGGAAAGCATCATTTGCCCTGAGATACACTGCTTTTGAAGAACAGGTGCCACCAACAAAATATCCACAACAGGAAAATCTAACACGTCACTCCATCCTCGTTCTGGACATCACTTAGATGCTGGGACCGCCTTGAGAGCTTACTACAAGATGTCTCGGAAAAAGCACTCAGAATTCCAAGTACTGGACTTAAAACAGTTTGTTTTACGAGACTGGCTGTATTTTTATGCTATTAGCAGAGTTACTATTAATAATGAATTCCCATAAATAAACAATAGACTCCTTAATAAGTTAAGCCATTCCTGTAAGGCACTAGTCGCTTCTGGCATATAGCAGACCTCCAGCGCATGTCAGCGGCTGCCGTCAGTGCTGCGGCAGCATTTCCAATGGGAAGACCACCAAGCTTGTTGTGCACACCTGTGAACTGTCCAGTTCAAAACACAGAGAAGGCTGGCTTCATCTTAAGAGAGACGGAGGCATGGTTTATTATTGCTAGAACATGCAGGAATATTGGAATAATAATCTTGGTTTCCCAGAAGAACCAACCCCATACCACACTAGTTTTTACTTTGGTTAGGTGCGAGGCCATGGTCCTGAGTGGGGAACAGTGAGGTCATTGGGGTATAGTATCTGACTGCAAGAAGAGCTGACATATTATTTGTGCGCCTCTCTCTCTCTCTCTCTCTCTCTCTCTCTCTCTCTCTCTCTCTCTCTCTCATCTGTCCATTCATTCAATAAGCAAATATTTATTGAGCACTCATCATGCCCAAGTTGCTGCACTGTCCAGAAATAAAGAAGGGCAGCCTGCGGTAGGTACCCTTACAAAGGTTCCCACCTGTAGGAAGGGTTTCTACGTAGGAAGACACTGGAGAGCAGTATGCTCCGACTGCAGCGGCAAAGGCAGTTGGAGAATCGTGGCAAGGTATCCTGAAGCCCCTGCAGTCTTCTAAGCCTTCAAGAGCATTCAAAAGCTAAACTGTTCAGTCCTTTTGGTCCTAGAGAAGTAACTCCCTCTGAACTCATCTACCCAGTGGCTGATACAGTGAGCTCTTCATAGTGTGTGGCTAAAGCTGCTCCCTCCGGGCAGCTGCAGCTGAGTGCACGCTGGCCAGCTGGCTCCTGTTTGCCAGGATCCCGCTCAGAGGCCTGGGCTGCTGGGATCTGAGCAGTGCATTAGTGGGCATGGCTCCCGTCCCCAAGGGCACAAGCCAGCATTAGGTCAACAGTTGAGGCAGCACGAGTGGCCCGGTGGCCTGTGGTTTCAGGGGACTGTGTATTGCTCAGGCTGTCTGAAAATTAGGAGCATCGGCCTGTAGCAGCTATCTAGGGTGAGTACTGAGCTTCCCTTTCCCATATTCCTCTGCGCTTTTGCCAGGACGTTCTTAAGTTGTTTTTTTTTTCTCCCTCATCTGCCCCCCCCCTGCCCTACCCACGTGCTGGTTTGCTTTTGTAGAAGTTAATTTTTAATTCTAAAACCAGATCAGACCTTCCCATACTGGTCCTTTCCCTGCACTGGTCACACAGATTTTTCCATCCTGTGTTGTAAAAGGAATAAGGCAAGTTGATCTCTCTAAGACTTTCCTGAATAGATAAATGTTAGTTCTTAGTTCTAAGGATGGGGTTCTCTTCGCTGTAAATCGCATCTTTGTTTCCCTACCCTGCGTCTTTTCTACAGTAGCTGTGGTACTGCAGTTGTTGTCTCTCCCCCAGCAAGTGTGTGTTTGGATGGGGTATTTAAAGATTCAGAGGAATTTAGTGAGATGTGTGCAGTTCATCTTGGTTACAGGGATGATTCATTATCTCCAGATTATACAGAGTCACTCTTAAGTCTCAGATACTTTAAGGCAGCTTTTCCTCTATCTTCCTATCAGTTTTTCCCCTTCCCTGTAGAGTGGTTTCGCAGTTTATTTCCCCCCGATAAGCCACATTCTTTTAATTTACCAAAATACATTGAATGAAGCATACTTTGATAAAAATCTGTGTCGACCAGAAAACTTTCCATTGGCCCTGGGGAGGGGTATGTGCACTTCTTAACTCTTGGCTGTCCCAGCTGTGCCCAGCCTCCTTCAGAGTTATTTTGATTTCTCATTGCAGCCACGATTACGAGTTCGTCGGAAAACGATGACCGGAGTGGCTCCAGTTTGGAGTGGAATAAAGATGGAAGCCTAAGGGTAGGGGTTCAGAAGGGACTGCTTCATGATCGAAGGGCAGACAACTGCTCCCCCGTGGCAGAAGAAGAGACCGCTGGGTCAGTGGAGAGCGAGCTGCCCAAGGCGGAGCCCGCAGCTGGAGATGGTCCGATTCCTTATTCCCAGAGCTCCAGCTCGCTAATAATGCCACGGCCCAACTCAGTTGCAGGTAAGGCCACACCTCTCCCCGGGGCCTATCACCCCAATCCTCAGGGTCCTGGTTTCCATTTATTTACCTCCCAAATTTGTTCAGACACAAGCTAGTCATGTGATCATTTCATAGGCCTCAGTTTACCTATTGCAAACACACAAGTCTTTTAGTGGTCCCTTTCCTCTGAATCTCTAAATATGTGATCTGTAATGTTGGCTCCTGGTAGGTGAGGCCAAAAGGTTCCGAAGCTCTGTCTTTTATTTAGGGCGAAGCTGATGCCAGCTCAAAAGATTTCTATTCTCATTCAACTTTAAAACTTTGGTTTGTATGGTTGAAGCCCATCATAGCTAGGAGGGCAAATGCTTCTGTAAAAACCAGCCATAACGGAGCTCACCGCCGAAAGCATGTGCAGCCTGCAGCTCGAAACAGAGCCCTGCACACACATGGCGGCCCGTGCTGATAGTTGGGCCGGTCAGTGGTTCATCTTTGAACAAGGACTATGGAAGGTGGGGGTGGAGGCTCCACCCTGTGCTTTCTGAAGGTTTTTTACACTTCTGAGCTCTTGGGGTGCATTCAGAAGAGGCACTCACTCGTCCAGGTGATTCTTTGTTAGCAGCCTAGTGCTTGAAAGTGTCCCCCTCACTGGCTCTGTACATCAAAGGATCTTCTGTAATTTATGCCGTTTCTTCAGTGTGTGCTAGGTCATTCTGGCTGCTGTTGGATGGTTGGGTTTTTTTTTTTTTTTTTTTAATGGTGGAACTCTGAAGCAGCTGGTAAATAAATGTCCTTAATGGAAAAGCTGTGAGGTACAACTCTAATTCACTTTCAAAGGAAGCAAAGTGGCCTTGTTCCAAAAGAGGTCCGCCAGGGAGGTACTAGCGAGCATTATGTGTATTGATTGATGGTTCTTCCAAAAGCTTCCCCTGCCTTCCCCCGCACCACCACTGGCCCACCCCTGGAATATAATACCCGCTACTCAAGATGCTTTAGGCTGTAGTTACCTAGTTATGATGAATGGGTCACTTGTAGTCTCCCCAGAATTTGACGGCTTTAGTTTCCCCAACAAAATAACACACTTATATTCAGAGTAACCTGTCTTTTTTTAAAATTAGGAACTCATTAATAGAGTAGTTTTAGTGACGTTAATGGTCCTCAGTTGGGGGTGGTCTGTCTTGCCAGAAGCTCTTTGGATGTCTCAGGCCGTGTGAAGTGGCTGTGGGTGTGAGCTGAATGTTTCCAGACTGCCCGGATTAGGGAGCAAAGCTGTCTGGTTTCTGCTGTACTCACCTGGTATCTCCTTTCCAGAAAGCCAGCAACCACAATCAACCGAGTTCTGGTTTTCTTGAACCACTAACTGGCGATTGCCCAGGATTTACTGGCTTTTGCCTTGACTAGGTTAGTCTACAACTTAGGGCATCAGCATGCATTGCTGTTGGTTTAGCTTAAGAGAACACTCTCCCCACAGCCGTTCCCTACAGCATGTTGAAATGAGCTCCCCACACAGTCTCTGTATGCATGCTTGGGTTCCCAGACACCATGTGCACAATTTAATCCAGAGATGTTAGCAGTGGGCTTTCTGCAGTATGAGATTGTTTGACCTCATTTCCTTGGCCCAAAATGGTGTTTTAGCATTTTAGGTGTTCCTTGTGTAGACTAGTGTGGGCCTGGCTCTAGTTGCTGCTATCTGGGGATCTGTGGACGAGGACAGAATGGCATCATCTCTCGGAGGGAGTGCCTGAGCTCATAGCTGAGCAGCTGAGGCCTCGCTGATCCTGATCTCAGGTGTCCTGGTAGCTTCAAAAACGCCCCAAGAAGTAAAGATCTTTGCAGCTGGCACTTACTGCTGTGCCTAAGCAGCAAACATGGCTCAGCTTAGCCATGTTTGTTTATTGTTTGAAACACTCGCCTTGTAGCCCCAGTCCGACAGTATTTTAAGCTCCCTTACCTCAGCTGCATGAGTACTGGAATTCTTCTTTTTTTTTTTTTTTTTTAAAAAAAAAAATTCCTGCCTCCTCCCCGCCCTCCCATTCGCCGGCGCCCGCCCGCACCCCCCCTCCCCGCCCGCCCCCCTCCCCCCCCCCCTCCTCCCCCCCCCCC